TCAGGTCCCTTCCGACCCTAGAAACTATGAAACTTCCATCAATTAAGTCCCATGTTTAAGTCCCAGTCTGAGATCTTACAACTTCCAATGCACTTCATACATATTCTCCAAAACTCTCACATGACATTTCTGTCCATAAGTGTGTGGAATACTGCATAAAACCTTCGTTTAAAGCCATCAGCACCCTTGGTGACTAAGAAGCATGGAGAGGGAAAAGACCTCAGCTTTCCAAAAACAACAACAAGAACACATATTGAAGAAGTAATTTTAAGAATTCTGTACTTCCTGGTCCCCTGTGCAATGAGGCACCAGAGCAAAACAAAGACTGTACTAGCCCATAATCCCATTTCTTCTTCTAGCTGTTCTGTTCAGATCACCTCAAATACAGAAGTTAAATGCACATAATGAAAACCATTGCAATTATATGCATTGTATAGAAAAAAGAGGCAATTAAAAAAACAATAATACAAAATTCTACTGACACATTCTCAGTTAATTGGAGGCCAGGGAGAGGTCTCACTAAGTATTCACAAAATATCCCAGGAATTTCATAATGCAACCAAGATTCTAAAGGAAAGCATAAAATCTGACAATATAGCATTGTCTGTAACAACACAGTCGGGTGTTCTGCACAATAATTAGAATCAAAGAATTCTTCCTCCAAGACTGGGACAAAATTGTGTAAGTCAGTCAGACCATCAGGAAACAGCCAAAATTAAAGAAAGATAGTTATTCATTTATAATTTGGCAAAAGTGAAAAGAAAGTTCTTGATGGTATTATCTTCATCAGCAGATACATCTGGCTCTTTTTCAAAAGCCTAACATCTTATTCTGAACAAGTGACCACAAAAATAAAGACAGTGCACTTGGTTCCATTCAAAACATTTGCAGATCTGTCGGACAGACCACTTCCACCTGGTCACTAATTCTGGGGAGAGAGGACAAGAAGGAAGGAATCCACACTTAACAGATCCATCTTTCTCTATGCCAGGGTCAGGAAGAAGTATCCAGGCAATGGCAGAACCTAACCACAAATAGAAAGCTCCATCAAAAAGCTATGGCATTGAGCTAAGACTGTAGTTCTGGACTCAGCCCCAGTGTAGCCATGTCTATGCCTACCTGACTTTCCGTGTAGTGGTGGGTTAGTTGATTAATTGACCTTGTGTCTCAGTTCCCCATTTTTATGACAGGTTATTTCTATAGTATTGTATCGGACAATGAGGCTTTCTGATACAGCTACTGATGAACATTCTCTAAATATCACCAGGAAGAGCAACAGCTTGAGAGACCTTAAGGCACTGATTCTCAACCAGGGTGCCACAGCATCCTGGAGTGCTGCAACATGCTTCTAAGAGTGTTGTTGGGTGCCACACGATATAAGTTGTGTAAATACTTACATGAGTCACAAGATAAACTTGGAGATTTTGCATAGGACTCCATAGTGTCAAAACATTCTGACCTGTTGTGGTCTTTCTGCATTCTTTATAACAGAAGACTTACTCTATTATTTTTCCATAGTCAAGAAGCAAGTGAAAGCTAAGAGCTGGCATTTTCCATGGGGTGCCTTGTGTCTAATCAGAGGTACTTTGGGTCAAAATTTTAAGAATCACTGCTTTAAGGACAGATGTCTTCTTGCCGGGGATATAATTTATTTTATTATATCAAGCACATCAAGCATGGATCTCGTTTCATATCTAGAAGAGCTCTTAATAGAGTCAGTGCCCCAACAATAATGTTATTACCATCCATACCCTCCTTTAAATCAAGTGGTCTTAGATTTCTGAATCTATGTGGCTTATTAAAACTTCTTTTCCTACAACTGAGTAAACATCATTCAAATGGACTTCCTTTTAGTTCACTGCCTTTGAGCAGAACAATGACAAATTCCTGGTGTTAATAAAGTAACATTGTTAATTTGCACAATTTTATCTTCAAATCCTAGTCAGGCAAATTATTCCACAGTAGAGATTTTTTTTAGTTAAAAAAACAAAACCTAGTACAGAGGCCACCAGCTTGGTCTCTACTCTGTTTTTAGTGTTTTAAATACCCTGTAAATTTGCCATTAATAAGTTACCTGGAAGCACGTTATTCTTCCAGCTTGGATGACTGACCTACAGCTTGTAATGAATATAGAGAAGCCAAAGGAACAAATTGCCTTCCTGCATGCAACCTGGCTTCCTAAAATCTTCTAGGAGCAGATACATTAAATTTGATATCTATATGATCACCTAGTGCATTTCTGTAACACTTCATAGCCCACATTATCAAATGCAGCTGAGGAACATACTCCGTCAACACAGAAAAAGGGAGGAGCCAAGGATGACCTGTTGAGTTCAGCTACACGCCTGTGCAGTGGTGGGCCTCTCCAAATGTCAGAAGTCTGTATTTTTAATCAGACATTCCTGGCAGTTTTTTCACATGCGTGGAGGCTGATGAAGCAGTTAAGGTGTTAGACACCTTCCATGTTTTAACTAGATATTTTTAATCTGAAGTGACAAGTTAGATGGCTGGTGCACTCTGCAGTGGGAAACAGTATGTGAGGATTCAGAGGTTTCCTACAGCGATATGAATAGTGCAGTAAGTCTCTTCAAATGCAAATTTCACATTTTCTTTCATAAGAGGCAATGTTAATGGTATATTCACTGTCTTGTGAACAGGCCTGAAAGGTCAAAGTAAAAGACTGGCCATTAATTACTGAAAGGTTAATGCAATAATTTGACACTGCATCAGTCGAAAGCCACTTCCAGGAGGTATTTTAGATAACACAATGCCCTTTATAAATCTAGTGCACTGTTGTGTTTGGCTCTGAAATATGAAGCTTACTCACTAACAATATAACTATAATTTATCCTGATACTGATGGCAGGTGGAGTATGTGCCAAAGACATTTTTAAAAAGACCCTCACAAAAGCCTCGGAGGAAGCATGTCAAAACAAGAATTTAAAATGAGTGAAGACATATAGGAGAAAAACAGTAGTAAGAAAAAAACAATGTATTACAACCCTCTCTAGACTTGGGTGCCTAATTAAGAATTGATTAAAAATCAGAGGTTCAAATCAGAGGAGAGGTTGAAGCAAGTTCATCTTGCAGAAAAGGCGCTTATAAGGGGACATGATAGCAGTCTTCAAATACTTGAAGGGTTGCCATAAAGAGGAAGAACACCTTTCCTCTCTTGCTGCAGACCAATGGCTTGTAGTTGTAGCCAAGTAAGTTTAGACCGAATATCAGGAAAAACTTTTTCAGTGGTAGAACAGTGAGACAGTGGAATAAACTGCCTAGGGAAGTTGCAGACTCTCCTCCACTGGAGGTGTTCAACCAGAGGTTGAATAGCTACTGGTCAGGGACGATCAATTGTCACTATGCCTGTGTTTTACTATGGAATTTTCCATGCTTCTGGGTTTTCCTAGTTGCCCCCTCCCCACCTTTCTGTTATACATGTAAGGGTGTTTTTAAGCCTCTCTCAGAGTCATTAGACATTGGCTTCAGTCAAGGTTTAGGATTTTGACTGGGGTGTGCCAATGCTCCTGTTGAGACTTAAAGCCAGAGGTTCCTGGCTAGAGCATCTTCCCCCTCTGCTCAGGGTCAGACTGATTGCCTATCTGGGGTCAGGAAGGAATGTTACCCTATGGTTACCCTATGGTTAGACTAGTATGGGTTTTTGCCTTCCTCTGTAGCTGGGGGCATGGCCCTCTACCTGCGTTCCTTTGAGCATATATTAACAATTTTTTCTATAAGCAAGACGTTGGCTGCTTTGGCCCCCCCTTCTTTACCTATGACAGATTAGGATGTTATGTTTTATGTTGTGTCAGGCTTGATGGTAGTTTTAAAAACAGTTTAGATTATGAATTTGTATAGGATGGTTTAGTTGGGGATTATTCTGCCTAAGCACGGGGTTGGATTAGATGACCTCTGAAGGTCCCTTCCTGCCCTGCTTCTTTAGAGAAGAAAAATAAAAAAGCTAAAAGAAGTTTGTGGGATAAAAAGGGACCAGAAAAACCTTAAATAAACATGGTTGATAGTCAAAACAAAATGGTACAGGTTATGGCTGACTCTGCAAGCGCACATTGATTTTGAAAAACAAAGCATGAGATAATGGTATCCACATCCCTTTTTAACTCAGCTCCCTATTAAAGTGGTAGACAAGGAGGTGATTTTGGATAAACTGTTCCAACTCTACCTCATTTGCAAGAAATAATAATATCTATTTCTATTCTTCTATGTCAGGGATTTTGTCTCTCCAGCCTTGACTTAGAATTCATAATAACCAATTGTATTAACATGAAAGACTTTAAGGACCTATCAGTGTGAGAAAACATAAAATAAAGGCCATCCATAAAGACCTGAAAGACTTCTGAGACTGTTGTTCCTGTCCACATTGGACTCTTGCTCTCAAGTCTCTGAAGAGTTAGTCCTGATGGCCTTTTTCATGTAGTCCTAAAGAAAGGACTTCTTTGGAGACTTGCTAGTCTCCCAGCACCCTGGCAGATCCAGGCCTTACAATGCTATTCCTAGAAATATGTCCAGCATGTTTCAAAAAACTCCACTAAACTTAATGGAGTTCAAACCTCCAGGACTTGCCTCTTAGAGATATCTCTGTACCAGTTAATCAGGAAAAGTAAGGCAGTGAGTTATAAAGCAAGCCAATATGAACTACTGGTTAAACCAGAAGTGTGGGAAGTTAAGAGACCTAGGTGCTAAACCTAAATCAACTGGTTAAGTCAATGGTAGAGGTGGCAGAAGACTCCTTCACCCTGCTGAGGAAATAAAATTAACTACCCACTCCCACTCTGCTTGCATCAATCCCAGAAATGAGGTGGTGAGTCTGTCTACCTTGAGGGGCTCATTTCCTCGGTTTCCTGCATGTCCAAGTGCACTAGCTTGGAGAGCTTCCAGGTCATCTTCACTGCTTCATTTTAGGGCTCATCTACTCTGAACAGGAGCAGTTTGTTGGGGCCTATTTCCATGGAGGCATGACTGAACACTGCTGTCATAGTGTTTAGACATAACCATTGTGTAATCTTAAGCAAGATATATGAACCCCTCAATTTCTCCATTAAAAGGGGAACTGTAAAGGGATTCAGGAGCACCTTATTAGTGGAAAGTGTTATTTATTGTGCAATTGTGATAGTTACCCCAGACATTCAAAACTTTACTTTTTAAAGCTATGAAATTGATGCATAAGAATAAAAATAGCAAAGAACATTATTTCTCATGAGGATGGCATAACCATCCATAATAATTCATTTGAACAAAATTCAATGGACATAAGTCAATTCTGAAATTGATTTTTAGTAAAAGCAGAAAGTATACAAAGGAAAATTTAGGCTGATTACCAGGACAAGTCTTAAAAGTAAGCTCAGTCATATTCTGAAATACTTTCAAAAGGGAAGTTATAGAAACCTTGTCATTTGAGTTATTTATGACCAATATATGCAAATTAAAGGAAGATAGCTGTATGCAAGAAACTTGGACAGAAGACCTTGAATACATTCCTTATTTCTGACTACAAATATTCAGTTATATTATTGTTTCTTATTTGTTAAGCACTAAGGATCTTGGAATCCATGGTAAATATAGAAGTGCACCTTACCTTAGCCAAAGGCTTAGAGTTTGCCCAGTTTGGTTTGACACCTTGAAGTTCAGGGTGTATTTTCACTCCAAATGTCCAACCTCCATATCTAGTAATATAAAACAATGCAATAGTAAATTATCTGTCAGCGGCTTGCCTTTGTTAGCATTGTGAAAAATGATTTTTTGCAACACAGAAGGAAAAATCTATATGATTATTCTTTACATGTCACGCTGGAAGTGTAGCTCATCCTCACATAATCAGCATATTTCTACTTGAAATGAAACCTAATTTATAACTTATAATCAAATGATTATTATGCACTTTAAAACAAAGGAAGTTCCTTTAAACTCCACTGATAAAACCTATATTTTCAGAAAGCATAATTATGTTGCTAAGATGGTTTGGATTTTTACAAAATGTATTTAACCATGCAATTATTTCCAAGGCCAAAATGTATTGTAATGAATCATTCATCCTAAAAACGTACCTTGAACTTGTAAATTGGAGTTAAAATCAAATTCCATTTCACAGATGGGAGGGGGCGTGGGGTGGGGTGTGTGTGGGTGTGTGTGTGTGTGCGGGTGTGGCGGGGGTGGTGCACACACACGCAACACACACTTCCTTCTCTTCAGTAAAATTACTCTTGCTCAAATTTTTCCAATTATGTCACTGGGTTTTTGGTTGTAGCTGTGTTGGTCTAAGGACATAGGCAGACAAGGTACTTTGAGCAGATGTGATATCTTTTATTAGACCAACTGAGTACCGGGAAAAAGTTCTTAGCAAGCTTTCAGGTGCAGTCACCCTTCTCCAGGCAAAGGGAGTCTCTGCTGACCAGAGACTCCTCAAACTACCTTGCCTGAAGTTATGTCACTTACTCACTGCAGAGGTCCAAAGGGATCAGAGAAGGACTGAATTAAAACAGGCATCGTGGACTCATCCTTCATACCCAT